CTTTTGAGATATCTGCCTTACCTCATTTCTCATTTTATAAGTTGAGATTATTTCCAGAGCCTGCTGAGGTCTGGCAAGCCAGGCTCAGGATGGATGGTAGTCTAAGGATAGAGGGCTCTGAAAAGCAGGGGCCAGAAATACCCACCACTTGTTCTGAAAAACTAAAGGCAGCACATTTAAACTTGTGGCAGCAGTGAGCCATGTTGCAAGTGTCAACACACGTGGCCTCCAATTTTAAGTAAATAAACAGTAAGTGGACTGATATTCAGATGCACCCTATTTTGCTTATGGAGCATTGCCCATCTGTGTGGCACACATAGTTGATGCTGTCTGTATTGATTACATCACATATTTTCTGGTCTGCAACCAGAGTTCATAATATAATTACTAACTAAAGGAAATATCCATTTAAGTAGCCTTAATTTTCATTAATAAACAGAGCAAATGTGGTGCGATTCTTCTCTCTGACATATGCTCAATATTCCAAGGACTGATTTATATGCTGCTCCTCTGTGATTTTATCCATTCGTAACACAAGGTAACCTGTTAGCCTGTGAGCCAGCCACTGCCCTCCCACACTCTATGGTATTGAACCATATGGGAAGCCCAACAGTGTGATCAGCTAAAGAAGTTTGCCAAGACCTAGTACTGATTTCTTCCAGAGCACAGTATGTGTTGTAAATATTGTAGCTAGTTGTCTGTTTCTTAGCAATAGTCTGATGTGTATCCATCTGTAATTTTATTTTACATAAAGTACAATTATGAATGATACTTTGGTAGCTGTTTGTTTTGTTTTTGTTTTGTTTTTTCATTTTGTAGAGAAACAAAATCCAATAATTTTACTCAGGAAACTATTACCATATACTTGTTCTAGAGAAAATTATAGATTTACTAGAGTTCTGTCTTATGTTTGAAAACTCTTGTTGAATTTTCAAGGGCTATATGGCAATATTTTTAAAAGACAAAATATTAGATACGAAGGGTGAGTTGATTCATTTTCTGACTTAACAAAATCTGATTTTAGATATTCAACACTGTATTCATAGTTAAGCTTTTCTTTTTCACCTACTTCTGGGAAATCTTCTCATATGAACATTTTCTTGTCCTAATGGAGTCCTGACTAGGCTAGGACTGATATGGCTTTAATATTATAATGTTCTTTCTAATTTTATCCTTCACTGAACCAGCTTTGCTCCCTTGGTCTATTTTTTAAAATGAGAGGTAAGATAAATAAAAATACTAAAAAATGTAAAATATTAACTGAAAATACAAGGTCAAAGGACACAGAAATATTTTGGTTTAAATAAATTGCACTCTGTTAACTAAGTCTTAGCTCAGCAAAACTAAACGTCAGAGTGCTTGACATTCATGCGCAGCTTTTACAAATTGTAGTTAAAGAATTATGTTTTAATAATGATGTTAAAAGAATTTGACAGGATATCAGGGAAAACCATGACTAATCTGATTTCTAAAGTGAGTATAGTGCTTGTGAAAAAACTCTTTTCGAGGCATTTTCCTCTGAAGCTACCAGAAAGGACCAGAAAGACCTGACAGACAGTGGTGGAACAGCAGGCCTAAACTACACTTCGGCCTCTTTCCAAACCTTATATATTCAGAACACCAATCTTAAAGAATTATCTGTGACCTTGTACTGGATTTCAGGTGTTACAGGGGCTTCAGCCAGGCATGGCAGATTTCTTTTCCTAAAAGCCAGAATGATCCTTCTTTCCTCTTGAGTAAAGTTCTATCTCTGTATCATATGGGAGGCATAGTCCTCTGCTCTTTCTTGGGGCCCCTCATGGGTTTTCTGGCTAGATCCATGCGCCCATCTGTAGAACATCTAGGCAGGGTGCAGAGCAGATCCTTAGCCCCTCGTGACTGTCCTGTAATTTCAACATCTTTAAAATTTTCATTTCTCTTGGAAAATGAAACTAAAAAGAAACAAAGGAGAAAAACCCTCTTCTTTGATTCTACTGATTTCAGCATTTTCATTCTTTGTAAGTCACTGTAAACTTTCCTGGGAGGGTGGCTTTCACTCTGGCTGTCTGCTTATACAACACGAGTTCTCTTCTTAAATGACTTTGATGTGGTTCCATTCCATGTTTTTATGTAAACGACTCCATGGAATGTCATCACTGCTCATAACCACCAAATCCAACAGCTTCTCTTGAATCTTTTTCTCTTCATCACATTTGTTAATTCTTGTTTACCTTGTCCTGGCTGAAATCCTTCTCATTTAACTACAGCAATGTTTGATGACCCCTAATCTCTAACAATTTCCCATTTTTTTGTGGGTTCTTCAATCCTTCTTTCCTTATACTTATGGATAGTCTCCTATCATGTATGTTTTCTCAAATCAGCTGAAATGGATTTATTCATTCAATCCCAATATCACAAAAGTAAGGGACATCCCTTAAGGTAAAAAAACAAATTCTTTTGGGAAGAAAGGGAAAGTTTTTTACTTCAAAAACATGTAGATTTCAACTATTTAATTCATAAATCATAAAAAAAACAGGGTTAGTAAATTAATGGACAGCACATCCAAAACGGATTAATAAGTGAAAGTCATGAGTTTAGAGGACTAACTTATCCTCTTAACATTGACACAAATTATCCCTTGATTTCACTTTGAAAGAAACATAATAGATTATATGGATTATGGGTATGATCCGGCATGGTAATTTTTTCCTCCTTTACAAATAATTTAACCTCTATTCACACTGTTAATAAAGCTTTATAGTTTCTTCCTTGAATGCAGTGCAACTCAAATGATGCTTTGGGTTACAATATTTATGCATGAGGTATAACCCTACATATGTCAGTATAATAACACAGATCAGGTTTGGACTTTTGTTATGGAAAACAACCAAAGTAATATCACAAAATTCTGTGCCAAGCCTATGACAGTGTTGTCTCAAAAATATGTCGACATAATAGGAAATAAAGTATCAGGAAAAACTCAGTGTGTTAAGACAAGTGTCCAACTAATGAAATACAATTGGTTTGATGCAAAAGTCTACTCTATTTTCAAGGATGAAATATATTTACAAGTTGTAAACACACTTAGTTGTATTTAATTAGCAGAATATTATATGAGGTCTAATGTTTTCAGGTTTTTTAAACTTTTGTTCTTAGGAAGAGTTTAAGTGACTTGAATGTAGGGAGTTTTTTTTTTTT